GGAGAAGATAGCCTGAGTGTGTGCAGAATCACCCGTGGGCTGGAGAGCCTGGAGGGAATAACCAGGGAAGAGGAGGGAGGGCCAGCATTCCTTCTTGGTTCATGATCAGCAATGAAGTGAACTGCCCTACCCCATCACACACTTCCACAGCCATTGAGATGTTGAAAGAAACTCCATTTTATGCTAGGCATCCATCTTGGTACCCACTAGACTTCAGTCCCTGGAAGACAATTTCCCAGCAACCCTAACTCAGTGACCCTGACCAAGAAATGTACAGCCCTGACCACCTACTTGTTATGATGTGTCTAACTACCTTTTGGCTTCCATAACCTGCATGTGCATGCATTCCAGGACTATTTTGAGGTTGCCTTGACTATCTAATCTAGGCAGAATAAAACAGCTCTTGGCTTGCTTGTGCAGACACTCAAGGTCTCCTTGTGGTTTTTGCTTTTAAGAGTCCTTCCCTTGAGCTGGCCTCACCCATCCAGGGAGAGCTGATCCTGCTGCTTTCCTTAGGTGATGGCTTCTGGTGTTGACGCAGGGAAAGAGAGAGACTCATCCTCCCTTGGGAGCCTTGGGGGTGAGAGTGTGCTGCCTAGACACTAGGAATTTGACCATGCTCCAGTGATTCTATAGACAACACAAGATGAGCTTGATTTTTCCTGTTTTTTTGTTTGTTTGTTTTTTGGTTTTTTTTTTTTTTTTTTTGGTTTGGTTTGGTTTTTTTGGAGGCGGTCACAAAGAATCGGGGCAGACATCAAAGATTTGATCAGGGTATATTGGGAGCCAACAGAAAGTGGCTATCATCTTTGCAGTCATCTCAGGCTATATAGCCTGACAAGAGACTTGTTTTCAACAGCCCACAACAGCTGCGCACACTCTGATAAACATCTTGTTTTTCTTACATGTCTTGTTTTGTTGTTTAGTGCACAGCTGCAAGGCACACGTGGTAAAGTGTCTTCAGCTACATTCCCCTGCTTGTGCTTATATATACCCAGGATTTCCTTTCAATAAAGAGGACTTGATCACACACCCTGTCTTGTCTCCATTCTTCGAATCTCTTGCCCTTCCATCCCCACTCTCTCTCTTGTTAGACCCGTGGACCGTTACAAGGGTACATGATATGTGATTCCCAAATAATCATTTTTAAAAATCTTTCTCTCACCCTGCTTCATAAGGCAATTTCAAGCTTGGCCCAGAGAGACTTGTCCTGCTGGCATCTAATTAATAAACCTTTTTTTTTAAAAAAAGAATTATTTACTTATTTTATGTATATGAGTACACTGTAGCTGTCTTCAGACACACCAGAAGAGGGCATCGGATCACACTACAGATGGTTGTGAGCCACCTTGTGGTTGCTAGGAATTTAACTCAGGACCTCTAGAAGAGGAGTCAGTGCTCTTAACTACTGAGCCATCTCTCCAGCTCTGTTTAATTTGGACTTTTAATTATGATTAGATTGAGTCTATGGCCTTTTCCCAGGGGTCAGGAACTCCATAGCACCATGATGCTAGGCCCACATATAAAGTTGAATAACCATGGTTCAAACTCTCTGAAACCAAGAAACTAAAATAAATTCTTCCTCTTTTAACTTGTCAACAGACATTTTTGTCCCAGTGACACAAAGGTAATACACAGTGAGAGCCAAGAGCCCCTCAGGCTTTTTCAGATCCTTTAAAGTTTTACCTGTTTGCAACCACTCCAAGATTTAGCTATAAGAAAAGAGATGCATACAAAAAAGCCATAGGCAAATATTTATGGCAACTTTATTTATAATCAACAAAAAACTTGGAACACCCCAAATGTCTTTTAACTATTCAATGAACAAATAATCACCTAGAATTTGACTGAGAAAAAGGGGGGAGGGGTTGCAGTGGTGAGGGAAATGTCATGTTAGTCTGAGGTGAACTGACCAAAAATGACAGAAGGGAAGCCCGGCAGAGGGAAGTGTGACCTGCATCAAAGATGGTGCTCTCCAGTTTTTTCAAGCAGAAGAAACCACACCTCTGTCGAGAGATACGCTTCTACCTCCTGATTCATTTGAATTGCTTACTCCTTGATTATTGGTGGGCAGAAGAGTCCAGGACAAATGCTTGTGAAAGTAAATCTGAAATTATCAAAAAAGATCATGTACCGGCTGCAGCAAAGGTGATTCCAAAGAAGAACAGAGGTTAGGAGTCAACAGGTTCTTAAGAATATATGATGTGTTTACTTAAGTCCTCACAGACCATAAAAAGAATGCTGTATGTATCAGTTTATATTGTGGATTAGTAAGACATTGACTATTGAAGGAAAGAAAGAAAGAAAGAGAGAGAGAGAGAGAGAGAGAGAGAGAGAGAGAGAGAAGAAAGAAAAGGAGCAACATTAAGGCAAATGATGTCACTCTCCTACTGAAACCCTGTGGTGACTTCTCGCCCAACTCAGAGGCAATGACATCCTGTAAGGCTTCTTCCTGACTCCTGATCACCTCACTACAGCCCGAGGCTCCCTACCTATCTATCTTCTGGAACACAACAGGCAAGCCTTTGCCTCTGACCTTTGCCCTTGCAGCCCTTCCTCCCTCCATGACCTGTGGTCCACTTCCTCCTGACCTCTGACCACAGGTCACTGTCTATTTATAACAGTGTGGTTCCCCAGCCCTCTACTCGCTTCTCCCGTGCTTTCTGTTTCTCTCAGAGCATTTATTACTATTTAATACGGTCTAGACTTCTTGTTTGTTGTTGTTGCTGTTGGTGGGGGTGACTTGTGTGTTTGTTTTGTTTTAAGATAGGGTTTTACTATATAACCTTTGCTGTCTGGGAACTCAGAATGAACTGCTTCCTTCTTTCTGCCTTCCCTGTGCTGGGATTGAAGGGCATGCCTGGCCTCTTTTAAATTTTTTTTTTAACTTCACAATCATTCGTTTATTTTGTGCGTCGGAGTAGTGATTCATGAGTCATATACATGAAGTCAGAGAACAATTGGAATCCATTCTTTCCTGTGGCTCCTATGATCTGACTCAGTTTTCTAGCTTGGCAGCAAGCACCCTTACCTGCTGCTGAGCCATGACCAGCCCTGATTATCTTAAGAAAGCCTCTCTTCTCCTTTCCTTCGCCATCGTGAGTCTACACCTGATTTGGCTTCTCGCCATGTCTTCTCACAAACTTTCAGAATCAATTCCTGGCCAAGGAACAAAAGCAAAATCACCCTACGGATTTGGATGAAAACTGGTAACAAAATCAGGTACAACTCTAAGAGAAGACACCGTAGGAGCAGGCTGAGTCTGTAAGGAAACTCATAATGGCAAGACTGAAGGTTTATAGGAATCACGGTCATCCATCAATACTACCAGATGGAACTCACCATTTTGAACTTGGAGACTTGCTCATGTCTAAATTGGGGGTGTGATTTGTCCAGTAATAAAATGTAGAACCTTTAAAAGAAAGAATCCTAGTTTATTGGGGTTCAATCTTTATCTTTTCATTTGGTCCAATTGCTATCCCAAAATATGTCCTTGCTCAGTAACACACGTTAGTAAAGGGCTGTTAGCCAATGTCAGTTGCTACTCCATGGTTTGATTGTCTGGCGAATGATGCAGATCTCTCTATTGTCTTTTCTCATTTCTCATTTGAACCTCACATTCTCTCATTAGCAGACAGCTATTTTCTATCGAGACCTTGCCTTGTCTGGGGATTAAACAATCGCTCTATCGGTTGACTGAGTCCAGAGATCCAGCAAGAACTGGATTCCCTGCGAGAACTGGGTCCCCTTGGGAACACGGATCCATCTGCATCCGCTACTTGTCACCATGATGAAACTTAACCTTAGAGGAGGACGAGGGATTCATTTTGGTTCACAGTTTTCAAGTTTCATGGTGGCAGGAGCATGTGACTGACGCTCCTTGTGGACGCTGAACATGACAGGGAGGAGCCAAAGATCGTGTTAACCCCCAAAGGACCCACCCCCAGTGACCTACTTCCTCCAGCTAAGACTCGCCTCCTGAAGATTCTAAAACCGGGCTGCAGAGACTCCTCATCTACTGTCAAACATGAATAGTTAGACCCCTGGGTCCACGCGTTAGAAGGAAAGACAGAACTGACACACAGTCAGTGTGTTACTCTGTCCTCTGCTTGTACACTGTGGCATATGTGTGCACAGGAGCACACACATGTAAACACATGCACACACACATGTACACACACATGTACACACACGCACACAAATAGCTAGTGAAACACAAGCCTCTGAGTGTATTTCACGCTCAGTCCACAAAACTATTCTTTTGGCAGTTCAGGTCCATTAGTTTGGTCAACATTTGATCTCAGCATGCTGTCAACAAAAACAAAACAGAACAACAACAACAACAAAAAACCCCACCTCATCCTGTAAAAGGGCCCCCAGAAACACATCAACTCAGGTGTTAGTTACCAAGGGAAAAATTAACCAGAAAACCCATTAGCTTTGCCTGCCCTTCATCTATCTTAAAAATCCTTCCTATTCTAAGCCAAGTACGGCAGTGCATGTCCTTAACCTCTGAACTCAGGCAGGATGTGGAGGCCAGCCTTAGCTATACAAGTTTGAGGCTACCCTGGGTTACCTGAGCCCCTGTCTTGAACCTTACTTAAAAAAAAAAAGTGACTGATTTTGAAAGTCATCCATCTTCCCACTAGATTTGCCGTGGAGACCTCCTGTGGTGGATGGATTGTGGCAAAAGTGGCCTCGGTTCCCTCTCATGGAGCTGGAGGCACTGACTTCACTTTGGTCTTCAGAGGTCTGATGGGTGACATCTTTGCCTCCACACTGTGTCTTTCCCCTTCCCAGTTTTTGGAACTGTACGTGGACGTGTGGATGGATCACCAAAGGAATGTTTTGTCCAAGGCTGTGACACATGGTGAACTTGGCCTGCTGCATGTTGGAGCTAGCGAGTTTCTTCTGCCCCGCCCTGTGCGCAATCCTTCAGCTGTTCTCACGTGTCATCAGGCCCAGAGCAAACCACAGGGCCAGGATGTTTGTACAGGACGATGGCATCGGTGGCTAGGGGAACTCGGCAGCTTCTAGGGTGAGCTGCCCATCAGTCCAATTGACCAGTGTCTCACAAGAAGGGAAATATCTTTTGACACTGTGCCTCAGCTAGCAGAAAATCACAAGAAGCTACCCTCCCCTCAAAAATCAATAAAAGCCCCTGCCCTTCTCTTTGCTCAAAGCAGCACCCCAGCCCCAGACCACCTGGATGTTGATGTCTTCTGACTAGATGCTGTTCCAGTCTTCCCTTGTTCAACTCATTCATGGCTAAACTGCCTCAGAGTCCCTCCTGTGGGATTGACTTTATTTATATTATTATTATTTTATATATTATTATTGATTTATTATTAGTAGCTTCTCCTTCTTCTTAATTGGTTTAAACTTAGAAACAAAAAGAACATAACTTGGAGTCTGGAGAACTGCGGCCTGGGAGCTGTGGGTGGGGCAGTGTGAGGCTTAGTGTTCCCGGGGAGGTAGGAAGTGTGAGCTCACACAGGCTGTTGACTGCTGGGAAGGAAGTCTCTACTTGCAAACTTAGTGGGAGCTGGCTTTGTCATGAAGCTGGCCACCCTATCTTACTCCAGTTGCGAAAGGAACACCTGGTCGTTTCTTGTGCCTGCTTGTATCTCCCTTTAACTGGGTGACTCAGAGACTGGGTATCTCCACTCTGAAGTCTATTGTTTTGGTTTAAGTCACACTTTATTTATTATTTGGATGGGCCTTAGATTCTCTGTGTAGCAAATGGTATTAAACTCCTGATCATCCTGCCGCTTGTACTCAGAGGCCAATGTCACAGGCCTGTACCACCACAACCAGTTTACGTGGCAAAGAAATCAAACCTATGTCCTCCTGTGTGCTGGACAAACAGTCTACAAATTGAGCTACATCCCCCAATCCTTCCTTACTCTGGATTTTAGAGAGTTTGTTTTTTCATTTTTATCTGTAAAATGGATGAGCAGAATGAAAAGATCCATAGCTTTTATTGTTGTTGTTTTGTTTTGTTTTTTAAAGAGGGAGAAGGCACGCATGCGCACAGGTGAAACAGGGTCTCTCACTAAACCCAGCGCTAGGCTGGCAGCAAGCCCTAAAGATCTTTTTCCTCTGTTCCCCATATGACAGTTTTACAGGCATGTGTGACCATGCCTGGCTTGTGTGTGTGTGTGTGTGTGTGTGTGTGTGTGTGTGTGTGTGTTAAGAGAGAGTGCTGAAAATCTGTGTGTTGTGAGGGGGGCACATGTGTGCTGTCATGGTACTCCAGCTGAGGTCAGAGGTCAAACTTTGTGGGTTGGTTCTTGCCAGTCCTTGATTGAGATGATCTCTTCCCACTGGGTAAGCCAGGTTTCAGGCCTTTATGCTTCCTGTCTTCCAGTATATTATAGACATTTGCACGAGACCAATGCTCCTCATGTTTGTAGAGCAAACACTCTTGCCTCTGAGAGCAGTGTGATTCAGCCACATACCCTTCTACCTCTACCTGCATAGGCTGACTGCAGTAACGCCAACTCCATGAAGCCCTCAATTTAGGACTTGAGTGTGTGTGGGTCTTGGAGACCTTTAAAGGCCTGCAGAGATGATCCACGGAGGGAAGAAGTCAGTCGGTTCAGTACACCTCAGTAGCTGGTGTTGGTCCAAACTTTGGGAGTCTGACCCCAGGCAGTTTATTTTAGTCATATTTAAGCACAGGACAAATTGGTGAAAACTTTTCCGGTGGTAATTAATTCCATCCCATGTGTACAACAAAGTATACATAAATCTCCTCGAAGAACAAAGTAATCTAATAGATTGACATGGCTACTGTGAGGGCCAAGGTCATGTTTTAGGTTAAATTACTGTGCAGGTGGAGATGGTGCACACCTTTAATCCCAGCACTCTGGAAGCAGGGGCATCCTGTCAGGGAGAGAGGGAGAGACAGAAAGAGAGGGAGGGAGAGAAAGAGAGAGTGAGGGAGAGACAGGGAGGGAGAGAGACAGGGAGGGAGAGAAAGGTAGGTAGGGAGAGAGAGAGAGAGAGAGAGAGAGAGAGAGAGAGAGAGAGAGAGAGCCTCTAACTGGTTAGCCCCACTTGCCCGGGGACCATAAGTTCCAGGAATGTTGGGGACTGTTCATGTAAGATAACAAGCCATGTGTTTCACTTCTATAAACAAGGTCAGTTGCCCCAATTGCATTGGATATACTTGATCATACACAGGCTGGGGTATGTCGGCAAGAAGTCTACCAGGATGTACACTTGGCCCTGATGAACAAAGGCAGGAAATATGCAGCCTTGTGGGTTTGACTTTATAAGAACCTGACTAATAATTTGGTGCCATTCTCTGGGAATCCAGAGTACGGACTGGACCAGTGTCCCTGGGGATCCAGGGTACGGACTACACCGGTGTCCCTGGGAATCCAGGGTATGGACTGGACCGGTGTCCATTGTCTTGGCCAATATTTAACAAGGCTTGCTTCAAGTTTGGCTCAAAACTTGTGGTAGTGGTCTAATTCTAGTCTAGTGGAATTAATACTACATTGAAACTCTTTGTAAGCTGGGCATGGTGGTATATATCTTTAACCCCAGCACTCAGGGGGCAGAGGCAGGCAGATCTCTGTGAGTTTGAGGCCAGCCTGGTCTACAGAGTGAGAACTGTTGTGGATTTGGTCTAATGCTTTTATTGTGTTATTTGGGTTCCCAAAATTGCACGAGAATCTGCATGTAAGACACTCCCTGCCCAGTTGGCTTTGATTGGTAAATAAAGTTACTGGCAGCCAATGGCTAGGCAGGGAGACAGAGGTGGGACTTTAGGGCAAGGAAACCGAGAGAGGAAGGATGGAGAACCACCATGACGTGAAAGGAGAAGCTTCAGGCTTGAGAGATGCAGAAGAGCAGAGCATAGAAATCATGTAAGAGCTGGGGAAGAGCAGCCTCGACTGGGTCTAGAACAGCAGAAGTGGAGTATAGATTTTAGTAAGTAATAACTCAGGAGTATCGAAGGGGAGGTGTTAGCCACATGGACATTTTGGAGTGGTCTAACCATTGAGTTGTTTAAGGCATATTAAAATCTAACGCTGTGCATGTCTCTCTCTTTTTTTTGGGGGGGGGGAGAGGGTTTTCGAGACAGGGTTTCTCTGTATAGCCCTGGCTGTCCTGGAATTCACTCAGTAGACCAGGCTGGCCTTGAACTCAGAAATCCGCCTGCCTCTGCCTCCCAAGTGCTGG